GAACCTCCTATTTCAATCCAATCAGAAACGTTTCTACCAATCCATCAGTGGAGACACTGCAATGAATCAGTCAGTACCTGACAAGGAAGAAACAGTGCAGTTCTGGAAGCAGATATGGGATAACCCAAAGAAATACAATAAGGATGCAGCTTGGTTAAAAGAGGTGGATGCAAATAAAACAGAAGTTGAAATGAAAGAACTAGTATTAACAACAAAAATGGTAAAAAAAGAGCAAGGAAGATCAAAAATTGGTCAGCACCAGGTAAAGATGAACTGCATGGGTTTTGGCTGAAACATCTAACTGTTCTATATCCACTCATTGCCAAACAGTTCAACAATATACTACAAGGATGAGAAATTGAAAAGTGGCTAATAACTGGAAAACCTACCTAATAATGAAACATCCAGCAAAAGAGGCAACACCAGGCAACTACTGGCCAATTACCTGCTTACCAACAACTTTCAAATTGCTAACTGATGTGGTAGCTGATGTAGTACAACAGCATCTAGTTGAAAACAATCTCTTTCCACTGAACAGAAAGGAAACCGACCCAATATCAGAGGAACAAAAGATCAACTCCTAATAGACAAAATGATCTTGGAAAACTGCAAGAAAAGGAAGGCCAACCTGAATGTGGCATGGATTGACTACAAAAAGACATTTGACTCTCTGCTACATGACTGGATAATCAAGTGCCTAGAAATAACAGGAGTAAGTAGAAACATCAGAAAATTTGTGCAAAGATCGATGGCACAATGGAAGACACAGTTGCAGGTCAATGATGGGAGACTGGGAGAGGTTATTATCAAGAGAGGAATATTTCAAGGAGATTCATTATCACCATTACTATTTGTTATTGCACTGTTTCCTCTGTCAACAATACTGAATAACTCAGGACATAGCTATCAAACATCAAAAATATCTGCTAGACTATCCCACCTCCTTTACATGGATGATCTGAAGCTGTATGGAAAAACATCATCTGAAATAGAATCGCTGCTCAACACTGTCGATACATATAGCCAAGATATTGCAATGGAGTTTGGCTTGGACAAATGTGCCACACTTACTATCAAACAAAGAAAAATAGTGAAAACTGAAGGAATCAAGATGCCCACGAAAATAACATTAAGAGTCTGAATGAGGAAGATTACTACAAATACTTGGATGTCCTTCAAGCTGACAACATCAAGCACACTGAAGTCAAAAAAAAGATTAGAGGTGAATACATCAAGAGAGTGAAGAAGATCTTAAAGTCCAAACTCAATGGAGGAAATACCATAAAGGCAATCAACACCTGGGCAATTCCAGTCATTAGATACACAGCTGGAATAGTGGACTGGACTCAAGCAGAACTAAAAGCAATGGATAGGAAAACCAGAAAAATAATGAAAATGAATCATACCCTTCATCCACTCAGTGACATTGACAGACTTTATCTACCAAGGCAAATAGGTGGGCGTGGAATGCTGCAAGTACATCAAATGGCTGAAGAGGAAAACATGGCTTTGGAAGAATATCTGAAGGACAGTGATGAAGATGCACTGAAATTAGTATATCAGGAAGGCTTACTGACTATTGGAGAGACCAAACTGGCCTACAAGAAAGACCAAATGAAGAACAGAATAGAGGCATAGGAAGACAAAGTACTACAAGGCCAGTACATTAAAAAAATAGCTGGGAAAGCAGATAATAACAAGACCTGGCAATGACTAAGAGCAGGAAAATTGAAGAAAGAGACTGAGGGAGTAATTCTGGCTGCACAAGACCAAGCCTTAAGGACAAATGCATATAGAGTCAAAATTGAGAAGACAGCAACAGACAGTAAGTGCCGCCTATGCAAAGAAGCTGAAGAAACAGTGGACCACCTGGTAAGCTGCTACAAGAAGACTGCACAGATTGACTACAAGGAGCAGCATGACAAAGTAGCAACAATGGTGCATTGGAAGATCTGCAAGAAATATCATTTGCCTGTAAGCAAAAGCTGGTGGGATCATAAAATAGAGAAAGTCATAGAAAATGAAAAAAAATTAAACTGGTCTGGGACTTCAGAATTCAACAGACAAGCACCTACAACATAACACCCCAGACCTAACAATTGTCGATAAGAAAGACAAAAAAGTCTGGATAGTGGACGTGGCAGTGTCTGGAGACAGCAGAATAGAAGAGAAAGAGCTGGAGAAGATAACAAAATACAAAGACCTACAAACAGAAATAGAAAGACTGTGGCAAAAGCAAGCAAGGGTAGTACCAATAGTAATAGGCGCCTTGGGTGCAATCGCAAAACAACTGGAGCACCACTTGAACACTATTGGCATTGACAAATTCACCATTAGTCAATTGCAAAAGGCAGCCTTACTAGGAACTGCTTCCATCCTGCGACGATATCTGTAATATCATCAAACATCCACATCTGCCTATCCCAGGTCCTTGGTAAGGACTCGATAGGTAGACAAAATGCCAAATTCAGTCTGAACATCTGGCTGACTGTGCGATGATCCATAATAATAATAATGTCAATAAAACCTCTGGGGGGGGAAGCATCATCATCATAACAATTCTTTTTATTTTTATTATTATTATATGGTGTAAGGAGGCTTTTCACTAAAGGAAGACATTGACTAGGTAATATTTTTCTAGGGATCTCTGAATTGGCTTCCCTCTGGGAATGTCTCCTGTAATAATGAGAACTTGACAGTCTTTTCAGGAACATGCTAGAGGTTTATGCAAAAGCCACTAGACCAGGATTACAATATTTTTTGGGCATTAATAACATTTTCTTATCAATAACTGATATACATGCATTAGCTACCATTTATTTTGTGTGATTCATTTATCTTGAAAGCTATTTGTTTTGAATTAATTGAAGTTTCCTTAGATTATCTGAACATGGTTGCTTTGTGCTTTTTATCTTTCTCTTTTAAGTATCCTTTATTTCTTGCTTATTTCTAGTAGTCAAGAGTGGAAAACCTTTGGCTTTCTGGATGTTACTGTACTATAATTCCCAGGAGTCCAATTCAATATAGCCAGAAGTAAGGGATGCTGGGAGTTGTTGTGCAGGAACAACTGAAGGGTCACATGTTTCCCCTCCTGGGTTGCAATTATCTTTGGTGAGAAAAGCACCACTTCTGGGTGTAATAGAGCTGATTGAAAATAATGCTCATAACTAGGCCAAACATTTTAGCAGAAGGATTCATACAAAATAGCATCTCTTGGCACTGTTATACTCTATGGCTAAAACAATCATTCATGAAATGGGAAAAATAAAAGTACAGGTTGTTTATTCACCATTAATGTCAAGGGAGTGGCTGACATTCATATTTCTCTGATTAGAGTGCTAGAATGCTGTTAGGTCTTGTTATCAGAGATGTACAGATGTGAGAGGCTGGCTTTCGTTTTCGTCTACTTAGCTGGCATATAAAGATTTCTAGAATTGCAGATGGATTTTGATTTCTGCATTGATGGAAACCTGAGTCATCTAATTTTTGCACAAAATGTTCCTGGTCTGCAAAGTTTCTGATCAAGCCAGATATTTTTTTACAGTTCAAATATAATTGCCATCATTTATTGCTCCTTTTATTACTGTTACTATGTTGATAAATAAATTTCTGCATTAAACCAGGGGAATAGCATTAAAATAGTGGGACTGATCTTTGATATCAGCTTCCCCCCTCACATCATGCTACTGCATCAGTATAATTGGGGCCCTTCAGTGACACCAGATTGTGTCACCATGCCCTACTTTTTTATGGCAGTGAAATCATATAAATCATTATAAAGTAATTTCACAGTAAATGCTTTGCAGTAGCTACTGTGGTGGCCCAGAGACCTCCTAAGGCAGGAGTGGGGAACTATGGCCTTTTTATGACTTGTGGAGTTCAACTCCCAGAATTCCTGAGCAAGCCATGCTGGCTCAGGAATTCTGGGAGTTCAAGTCCACAAGTCATAAAGGGGTCATAGTTCCCCACCTCTGTCCAGGGAAAGGGCAAGGGAGACACATAACAAACTGTGCCATGATATTGAATGCAAGTGCATAAGAGGTGGGGCATGCATTATGATGTCACAACTCATGCTGTGTTATTTTCATGCCGTCACAATTGTATGAGATACTACAATGTGTCCCTTCAATGGGCTATTTCACTGCTATCCTGACTCTATGAATAAGGTAAAATTATGATAGTTATTATGAAAATATTAATAATACTTTCAACATTATGGAAAGCTGATTATATAATTATTCATCACCAGTAATGATAATTCTATGTGTTGTATGAAATCATGTAAAAATAATATGATAAAATCTATAAAAATCCAAAATAATTCAGTATAATAGAAAAATCAAGGGTATTTGAAAAAGCTACAGCCAAAAGAACCAAGCAATAAATAGAGGCACTAAAATTAGTAAACTATCAAAATATTAAAATAACAATGATCTTAAAACCCACTGGTGGTGCCAATAAATAAATAAATTGATTGGCAGAATGACAGGCATGGGACTGAACTTCAGATAAGGTAACCTGGAGATAAAGGGAGTTGCATCAAAGAGGCCAAGAGCCTCTGATACTGTATAATTAAGGATCTAAATCCACCTCTAGGTTTCTCAGAGGGAGATATAAATACAATCTGGGCAGAGGTCTGGAAACATGGACTTTATTTTTGCTCTTCTTTGGAATATATAAGGCTATATGTAATTTCTCTTTATCCCTGCCTTCATGTTTTGCCTTGTCATGACCTAGATAAGGTAACAACAATTAAAAAGAGAGGGAACGCTAGCAGGTATCTCAAGTGGCTGGCAATTGACCCAGGGACTAGAATCTATTGAGTGAAGAATATGTTCTTCTCTGCTTCTGGTGTTCATAGGCATTAGCAAGGTTTGGTTCAAAATAAAGTTAAAAGAAAGTTCCATTGAGGATAGTTAGGCTCTTAGATGTACCTAAAGAAACTTGTAGAATTTTGGTCAGTGAGTGCACTTTTTCTTGTAAAATGTTCTGTTTTATAGCCATAAACAGATCCAGTGAGTTTGCTTCAAGACCTGGTGCCTGTCCCACGAAGATAGGGGAAGCATTAAAGAGTTCATGCGTGTCTGACATGGATTGTCCAGAATATAAAAAGTGCTGTAAGACATCTATGGGAACCCATTGTTCAGATCCTGTTCCAGAAGGTATAGTAGTACAATAGTGTCATGCTACTTATTCTTTTCTTATTCAGATATAGAGGAGTTGAAGCAGAGGATCTGATTTGTGGATTCTTCCTTCTTGGGCCACCAGGTGTGTTTCAAAATTCTGTGAGGATTTTCACACAAAAGAGATCAATTATGATGCAGAATATATGAGTCTCATAGATAATTCTGATTGGTTGATCAAATGCATATATTGTCACACCTTGTGAGTCTCAGCAGTTAGTCAAGACCACTGAAAATGAGAAGACCACCATGTCAGTTCAGCACCTATACACTAATGTAAAGTTCTACTAACAGATTGTTTTCTCTTTCCAATTCTAGAACAAACAGTGACAAAGTATTGGTATGATGTGTCAGTCCTTGTGAAAATGGATTTCAGTGAATTGAACAAAGTGGATCCAAAACTTCTGAATCACTCACGTCTTTTGCACTCTATGGTATGAAACCATGGAATAGTAATATATAAGCTGTACTGTATATTTCTAGTGCTATAAGAAAGTCCAGCCTATACTGGACTGCCACCTACTGGATAAGGAATCCCTTTTCTCCAGTGTGTTTCTTGGCAAATACATTGCTTGCTTGATCATGAAAATGTTTTTAAAATAAATAATGTTGAATATTTATTAAATATTGTTCAAAATTGTTTAAAATATATTTCAATGTAATTAAAATAATAAATTATAAAATTCTGACCAAAATAATGCCTCTTTAATAGGGTTATCCTGTGTCAAGTTAATATGTAAACATAGTGTTTATAGCAGGCATGTCAAACTGCCGGCCCGCGGGCCAGATGTATCACGCCAAAACTGCGCCCACCCCATTGCTGGCAATGGGGAAAAAGTTGTGATATGTTGCACAAGATCACGTGACGTCGCGAATTTGACATGCCTGGTTTATAGTGTTAGAAAGGATCTTAATTTGATTGCATTGTTCTTTTTCATTATATGTCTAGAATTTAAAGAAAAATTATTTAGTTGCCTGTGGTGGTATTCTATAACATTTAAGAAGAGTTTCTCTCTTTTCCAGATTACTGGAGCATTGTGGCCCATGAACATCTCTGTGTATCATATCCAGACAAAGTCAGAAACTTATGCAGAGACATTAGTGTCATATGTCCTAGTTGGACTGCCACAACTGGTTCCATTGGTCAATATTTCTTCTTTGTTGAAAGAAATTGTGAAGAGAGTATATGAAGTTATTGACATTGTCGTACAAGGTTATTATTTCAGATATATTTGACTGAAGAGCAGCTCTATAGAATAGAGAGGTTTTAAAAACTTATCATTTTACTTTATGTTTGGATTTTCAGGATTAGAAAACAAGGCATTTTCTAGGGCGTGAGGAAGGGGGCCCCTCCAAAAAGAGTAAATCCCTTATACCAGGGGTAGGCAATCCAAAACACTTAAAGAGCCACTTGGACCTGTTTCCCACCAAAAACAAAACACTGGGAGCCGCAAAACCATTTTGATATCTAAAATGAAGATAACACTGCATATATCCTTTTTTTACCTTTATTAGAGGTGTGTGTGTGTGTTTGTGTATGTGTGTGTGTGTATATATATATATGTATATGTATGTATATATATATATATATACATACACACACACACACACACACACACACACAGGTAAAAAAAGGATATATGCAGTGTTATCTTCATTTTAGATGTTAAAAGGGTCTCTCTCTGTGTCTCTCCCTCTCTATCTGCCCTTGGTCTGCCACTTCTCTTCCCCCGTTTCTCTTTCTTTCTCTTTCCTCTCTCTCTCTTTCTCTCTCTCTCTTTCTCCCCCCCTCTCCTATCTGCTGCTCACCTGACAAGCTTAAAGCTGTTGTCCAACAAGATCAGGGGTAGGCAACCTTGTCTCTTTTATGACTCATGGACTTCAACTCCCAGAATTCCTGAGTCAGCCTAGCTGGGCTAGCTAGCTCTCTCCTGCCCTTCCTGCTTCCTGCTTCCTGCTTCCTGCAGAGACGCAGCAAAGGGAGGAGCTCCGCCCAGAAAGCTTTTCAGCTCCTCGGAAAACAGTGAGTGCACTCTCTTTTACACACACACACACACACACACACACACACACACACACAGAGAGAGAGAGAGAAGCAGGGAAGCGCAATTCCTCTCTCTGTCTCTGTCTCTCTCTGCAAAGGCAGAGGAGGCTGGGAGCCGCAGGGGAAGGCTCAAAGAGCCGCATGCGGCTCGGGAGCCGCAGGTTGCCGACCTGTGCCTTATACGTATAATGTGAATCTCAAGTACAGTTTGTCATGTATGATAAACTGAAAGCTGAAGATCACAATATGAGTCTGTCTTTTGCCACAGCCTTTAGCTGCATGGAATAAAATTAATATTCACATCAAGACCTTAATATAGTGACTGATTTCACTTCAATGCAGTCACAGAGTTAAATCAGCACCTATACTGTTTCTTAAGGCCTGATTTTACTTCTTTAATTTGGGTGAAAATGTAAAAAAAAAAAAAAAACCCCAAAAGCTTGTATAAAGACTTATTTCTGCAAATGCAATAATTAATCTGTAGGTATGCAATCTAGTATTTACCTATGGCAAATTTCTCCTGTCTGTAGGGGACAAGAGAAAACTTGCAGCTTTGACGGTATGTCATGGGTTAAAAAGGCTGCCATTGAGGGTATGGCCAGTCACAACCCCCACAATTTCTGAAAGGCAAACTAGTGAAGCTGCTTCCCACCCTCCTCTTTATCACCTATTCTCAAGATGCTCTCTATCATTTTATTTTTATCTTTTGTTTTTCTGAATAACTGGATATACTTCCAACTGAAGCACTGGCTACAACTGCCATTCTGTGTTTTGTAAATTAGTATGATATCAGAGGCCATAACATAGGGCTTTTTTTAGCATTCTAATTTCCCATTTATTTTTCTTAATCAAAATAATAAAAAATAAATGGGGGGGGGGAACAGGGAATCTGCAGGTGTAAGTGGTAGTGTTCATAGCATACAAACACCTGTGGATACTTGGGAATTCACAATAAGAAAATGTTCATGAATGTATACATTACAATATAAAATTGGTGGCATATTTTAACAAAATATAGAGTGATAGGAAATTCTGGTCAGGCCATTTTTTTTAAAAAAAAAGTTTACATTTTTTGCAAAGTGTCACAAGAACATTCCTTTAAAATAAGTGCAAACCAATTTGAAAAAAATAACCCAACCCAACCCAACCAACCAACCAATGTTAAATAGCAGACCATATTATTGTACCTCCTCCTTCCCTGCCAACGCCTCAACATTTATTACTGAGAAAAGTCTTTGACAGTTTCTCTAAAAATTGTGAAAGAAGAAACTTATCCAGGGAGAGGGCAGATGTTACTGAAGTTGGTGGGGTCCCATGGATGGCTAAAACCCTCTCCTCTTTTTAGGGCACTCAACTGAATATGCTTTAGGCTCCAGAATTTATTAAAAGATACAAAGGGAGATATTATTGCAAGTCGAACCATTTTTTTGTCATTTTTCACTAACAGACCAGAAGTGATATGAGGATAGATAAATGTTAAAAGAAGGCAGAATTAAGTACTCTTTTTAACACAACATTGCCTTTATATTGCCTCTACATTCCACAGTTAGTTAAATATTGCAGGTAGCTTTTAGGAGTACCTATTGGCTTGTGATCATGTTTCATTATTCTTTTCTTTGATCCAGATTGTGATCCTGATATGCCCAACATTCTGATTAAAAATAAGTATTCTTCTAATTTGCTGAGAAGTTCAAGATCTGCATCACCTGAAATTCATGGATCAGTAGATTTGGAATGCGGTAAGTTGCTATATATATTAAAATTCATTTATTTTTAAATTTTGCTTTCTTTGGGGCCTGTCGGACTTGCTTTATTTAAGCATATTTCCTTTTTTAATTGTGTCTACACTACCATTTATTTAGCATTTCTCTGTGTATAAAGGAACCAATAAATACTTTTGTAAATGAAACAAATTAATGGACCTACTGATACATTTTGTTTGTAAGTAGATCTTACCATTTCAGAACAATAGATTACTATTCAGTATAGTTTATCAGAAAGCTTTTGCCATGAAGACTTTCTTAAAACTTTAATATCATTTCAAAAAGTTAGATTTATAGAATGAGGTGGTGAAGCTTAGGTCTTTTATAGATTGCTGCTTAAAGAATGTTAATGATTAAGATGGTATAGGTTGGTGCTTAAAAAATATTAATGGTTGCTTAATTGCTCATTCTGCTTCCTATTTTAACTGTTTTAATCAAGGTACGTTCTTTTACATAAATGAGTACATATTTGACTGCTATCAAGATTTGGCATATGAGATTTATTGTTTGGAGTACCACAGAATTATTTGTTCAACTATAATCCAATAATTGTTTATTCATTCAATTGTGAACAATATTTCAGTTATAGGTCCCAGAGTACTTTTCAGAAATTTTTAAAGGAAAAGTGGGTATTTTGGTCTTGTGAGAATTAGTATTTGTGCAAGCTGCTTTGCTGCCTAGAGAGTACCTCATATTATCAGTGGTGGGATTCAAATATGTGAACAACTGGGTTCTCTGTGTGGATTCTGCTTCTGGAAGTCCATTCTGGGCCTGGGCCAATGGTTCTTTTCCTAATCTCCTGAACAGCAGTAACAGTTTAATACATTTAGAAGGGATCAGATGGAAAAGAACAGTTTTTTAAAAAGCTTCCTTGCACATTCAGATATATGGTACTATTCTTCAAATAGTTTAAGCCTCAAAGTAAAGACTGAACCATTTATTTATTTTTTCTTCATGGTGCCCCTAACAATCTGAAGGGTCAGCTTTTAACCTGATCATTCAACCCTTGGGGCCAACAGAAATCAGTTCATAAGTCCTACATGTTCAGGGGAAACAACCCTGAATCCCGAGGACATGTATGATGACATTTTCACTTTGCTAGCTTTGATGTGAAGGCAAATGTACATTTTTCTTTTGAATTTAGTGGAACATTCCTGTATGCCACAGCTGCATAAAGAAATGCACTGGAAGCTCTAGAATGGGAACAAATAATTACTTGAACATAGCATTTATAATGGAAGACATGAGCTGCTTGGAAAATTATTCTAGTTTAATCCTGAAATGCACTCAATTTAAATTTTGTTTGCATTTGCTAGACTTAAATAAAAAAATATGTGTTGATTATAACAGAATGGGTAAACTGATGTATGGGCACCTTTGAGTGATCTTACCTTGGTTCCAAGAGCAAGACTAATTAAAAATTGTTCTTTACATTCCAGATAATGATGGCTAGTATTTGATAAACTGAACTCCCAATCATCTCTAATGACTAGTATCATTCTCCACTTTCTTCAGCCAAGTGGCAGCAAGAAATAGAGCAGGCCTAGGCATTTTATAAAATTCTCCATGCTATCACCTCCAACCACGAGATGGGCAGCATATAAATTTAATAAATAAATTAAAACATCTATACTATTTGCCAAGAAGCAAATGAATTTAGTGGAACAACCACTCATTTATATTAACATGAAACAGAAAAAATATATCAATAGCCACTTAAGTGCAGCCAAAATAAGAGTAAGAGTATCTATTTCCAGATAAGCAATTGAATCCTAAATAGCTTAGTGTTTAATTTTACTCCATGGCAAAAATATACAAACTTTCAACCTGAAGAAACCATACAAAAGGCCGGTTTTCTAAAGACAGGGTTTGAGGTTTCTTTTTTCAGAGCATCCCGGTCAGGAATTCCAAGATAAAGCACCTTATATTTCTACCTTAAAGGTTGAGGAAAGAACTTTTCTCAACCATGAATCAAATACTTCATTGACTTCATCTATTTCTAAAAGAAAATATTAAACAAACTATTTTATGCAATTAAAGCGAATGCCTATCACCTCCTAGTCAAAGACTCTAATCTTATATACATCCATCCATCCATCCATCCATGCATGCATACATATCCATATACACATACATATCATATATATATTGCTGCTCGAAGCACGAAGCTGAAAACACCAGCCTGAAGATGACGAATGGGACTTCGTCGAAACGTCGCCAAGACACTTCCAATTTTACGCGGGAGAAAACCCGAACAACCAAAGGCCTACATATATATATATATATATATATATATATATATATATATATATATATATATATATATATATATATATGCGATTAAAAAGGTTAAAAATATGAACCCTGGGAATATTCATAATGAAAATATAAAATGAGCACCAGGGTAGTAAAAACTATAAAAGTTTTTAATAAATTAAAACTATAAAAGTTTTAAAAAACGCCAAGCTTTCGCCGTCACCTGCCGGCATCCTCAGGGCTGGCGCGCCAGAGAATGAGAAGGTCTTTTATAGGCGTGTCGAGGTCTGCGCCCGGCTCCTCGATCTTGTTATCGGGCCTAATTGGTTCAGCCGTGTGCAATTAACCTGTGCTTCTTTTCTCTTTTTGGTTGCATTTTTATCCTCATCCGTCTCCAATTCTCCCAACTCCGGATTAGCTAGATGGCAATTGCAGTTATTTCGGTTGCCTTTATATTCTAACCTCCCCTTAGGCTCAGGTGGTAGTGCACATTCCACATTCCTTTCTCCACCATATCTTGTCCAGTTGTTACTTTTAGGATCGTATTCATTTCCGGTCTCAATACTTTCATTTTTAATGTGTCCGTCATCCTGATGATCTCGTAAGTTGCTACGGGTCCGGTGCAGCGTGGGGGGGTGTTCCGCAAGGTGGAGGGATCGTCTCTTATTAGTTGTCATGCCCAGCTGTCCTGCACGTGTCCTACTCCGGGTGCCCGGTCCAGGGGGTGTGTGCGCAGCAATCAAGCCGCGTCCCTCTTGGTTGCAGCGCTCTTCCTCAGTTCTCCCCTTTTTTACATTATTAAGAGCATTCGCTTGTATTCCATGGGAGTCCTCAGGACCATCAGGTAGGGGGTGTGACGGCTCGATCTTCCGTACCCTACCGCTCTCCGATCTTCCCTCCTCCTCTATAACGGTGTGCGAGGGTTCTTCGTCAACCACCCCCCGTGGTTTATCCTTGTTAGAGCTAATCGCTCCGGCTGCATGAGGGGTTCTTCTCCTCCTTTCCGGATCAGCCGTGATGTTTCTTTTGATGTGTGGGCGGTCCGTTGCGTTTGGCGATTCATCCGCACTTCCACCTGCTGTATCTTCTCTCGTCTCCTCTTTGCTGCCAGGGGGCCGGATCCTGGTTCTTATCACCCCCCTAATCCTCTGGGATTGCAGTAGTCTCACGGGGGTGGTCGAAGTATCTCGCGATTGCTTTCCTTCCTCCAAATTGCACATGGTTTGTTGGATGGTTCGGGTGCTGCCCAAGTTGTTATTGGGCCATCGGGGGTGTTGCCGCTGGTTATTGGCACTCCATGATCTTAAGGCCAAATAGGACGGACATAGGTCAATATGCCTATTAATGGATTTGCTGTCCGAGAGCCATGCCTCTCTAAGAAGGCGGCCCCCTTTGGTACTGTCATTTGCCAATACACTGACGCCACTAAAATTAAACCTGTGGCCCAGATCCACCGTGTGGGCCCATATTTGGGAGTGACAATCTCTCCTTCTCACTGCCAGTTCGTGCTCATGGACCCTGGTCTTAATGCGTTTAGCAGTCTCCCCAATATAATTGCATTGGCAGTCCATACAGTCAATCCTATAGACGGCTGCCAATCTTTCGATGCTGGGGAGCGGGTCCTTAGGGCGCATTATTGCCGCCCGCAGTGTTTGGTTGGGTCTATGGGCCACCTGTATTTTATATGGTGCCAGGATCCTAGCTGTGGCTTCTGATACATTGTGGATATAGGGGAGGGCAATGCGTGTGGTGGCTTGAGGCATGGATTCTTGGGATACGGGGTTACCCCGGAGTCCAGGTGGTTTCCTGAACTGATTAATAAGTTTAACCGGGTAGCCGTTACGTCTACATATTTGGAAGAGGCGGTTTCTCTCTTCCTTTTTAGCTCTGACGGTGCTGCAATGTGTCTCCACTCGTTTGAATAGCGTCCTGACACAACTGGCTTTATGGGCCATCGGGTGATTGCTCCCAAAGTGGAGAATCCTGTCAGTACATGTTGGTTTTCGGTATACCCTGGTAGCTAGACATCCATCCACCTGGCGCTGCACAAATACATCCAAAAATGCCAAATTGCCCTGATCTTCCTCCTCCATGGTGAATTGGATGTCCGGGTATACCAAATTCAGGACGCCCATAAAGTCAGTTTTGTGTCGTTTCTTAATGACCGCAAACGTATCGTCCACATAGCGGGCCCAAAATTTTGGTCGATACTGGGCCATCGCTATGTGTTCTAGCTGTTGGAGTACCATCTCTGCAACCACACTAGAGATCGGCGACCCCATAGGTGTTCCTTTGATTTGCTCATATATAACACCCTGAAAGGTGAAATAGGTGTTAAGGCATATTTCCATCAGTTTTATCAGGTCCTCCGTTTGAAGGGAGTCCTGATGCTGCCCATGGTCTCCTTGATTAAGCCGGTCTCTTAGGACCGCAACCGCAAGTTCTTGCGGGATGGAAGTGAATAGAGAAATTACATCAAAGGAGACCATGAGCTCATCCTCTTCTACCTTCAGGGTTTTAATTCTGTTGAGGAATTCTTCTGCCGATCTTACGGTGGTGTCGCTGTTACTTGACGCATTGGCCACTTGGCAAGTAACAGCGACACCAAATGACATTGGCAAATGACAGTACCAAAGGGGGCCGCCTTCTTAGAGAGGCATGGCTCTCGGACAGCAAATCCATTAATAGGCATATTGACCTATGTCTGTCCTATTTGGCCTTAAGATCATGGAGTGCCAATAACCAGCGGCAACACCCCCGATGGCCCAATAACAACTTGGGCAGCACCCGAACCATCCAACAAACCATGTGCAATTTGGAGGAAGGAAAGCAATCGCGAGATACTTCGACCACCCCCGTGAGACTACTGCAATCCCAGAGGATTAGGGGGGTGATAAGAACCAGGATCCGGCCCCCTGGCAGCAAAGAGGAGACGAGAGAAGATACGGCAGGTGGAAGTGCGGATGAATCGCCAAACGCAACGGACCGCCCACACATCAAAAGAAACATCACGGCTGATCCGGAAAGGAGGAGAAGAACCCCTCATGCAGCCGGAGCGATTAGCTCTAACAAGGATAAACCACGGGGGGTGGTTGACGAAGAACCCTCACACACCGTTATAGAGGAGGAGGGAAGATCGGAGAGCGGTAGGGTACGGAAGATCGAGCCGTCACACCCCCTACCTGATGGTCCTGAGGACTCCCATGGAATACAAGCGAATGCTCTTAATAATGTAAAAAAGGGGAGAACTGAGGAAGAGCGCTGCAACCAAGAGGGACGCGGCTTGATTGCTGCGCACACACCCCCTGGACCGGGCACCCGGAGTAGGACACGCGCAGGACAGCTGGGCATGACAACTAATAAGAGACGATCCCTCCACCTTGCGGAACACCCCCCCACGCTGCACCGGACCCGTAGCAACTTACGAGATCATCAGGATGACGGACACATTAAAAATGAAAGTATTGAGACCGGAAATGAATACGATCCTAAAAGTAACAACTGGACAAGATATGGTGGAGAAAGGAATGTGGAATGTGCACTACCACCTGAGCCTAAGGGGAGGTTAGAATATAAAGGCAACCGAAATAACTGCAATTGCCATCTAGCTAATCCGGAGTTGGGAGAATTGGAGACGGATGAGGATAAAAATGCAACCAAAAAGAGAAAAGAAGCACAGGTTAATTGCACACGGCTGAACCAATTAGGCCCGATAACAAGATCGAGGAGCCGGGCGCAGACCTCGACACGCCTATAAAAGACCTTCTCATTCTCTGGCGCGCCAGCCCTGAGGATGCCGGCAGGTGACGGCGAAAGCTTGGCGTTTTTTAAAACTTTTATAGTTTTTACTACCCTGGTGCTCATTTTATATTTTCATTATATATATATATATATATATATATATATGTATGTATGTATGTATGTATGTATGTATGTATGTATGTGTATGTGTATGTGTATGTGTATGTGTATATGTATATGTATATGTATATGTATAAAATAAATAATATGCGATCACCAGAGAGTTTAAGTATACTTTACTAAAATACTTTACTAAAAAGCTGCCAAACTTTCGTTGGGAACTCCCAACATCGTCAAGGCTAAAAAGCCAGTTTAACAAGAGTGACTTAAATAAGTTTGGCTGACATCTACACCCAGCTCCTAGACTGCATTACCAGCCCCAGCTGGTCAATTAATGTTCCAGATGTTTCTTTGGTGTTACACTCTCTTCTGTCGTTCCTTCGAATCTTCCTACCTGCCCCTTTGTTATTAATTTTTAAGTCTATTGACACCCTCGTCTCCCCCTCCCCTCCGGTGATATTTACTCCCATCACATCCCTCTTTCTGCTACGGGTCTCAGGGGCGTTCGATTCAGTGTTAATCCTCATTCTGTTAGGGCTCCAGGTACTTTTCACCCCCTTTGATTGTTGATCGATGTTTTCTTCCTGTTTTGTATTCCCCTCTCCCTTAACCATATGAGTAACATTTATGCTGGCATTGTGCATTCCGGTGCTTGTGTTCCCACCCCGCACCATAGCGTTCTCTACATCAACCGTTTTTCGTTGTTTAGTGTCCAGAGTAGATCCTTCATGCTCCTCCTGGGAAAGATCTAACTGCAAATAGGAGCGTTCTTCATTCGTTGCTTCTCGTCCGTTCATGAAATGAGGGGGAGGAGTTTTTCTCCCCCTTTTACTGAATGAGCGAGTCATCATTCCACATCTTCTCTCCCTCCTCCGTGTTGTGCATCTCTCTTCGTTACTGCAAACAGCACCAAGCTCAGGGATTTCACCATTAGATCTTCCGGGTTCCCTTTTGTCATTGTCATTGTTTCTCTTCCACCTGAAAGGTGGGGATCTATTGGGACACTGTTGAAGAGTATACGAATTGTCTACCCGGTGGATTTCCCCCCTCCCTTTTCTTCCGGAGGGAAATCCACCATCAATGCATGTCTACGTGTGTCCAATGGCGGGAGATTCCTCAGCTGTTCAGGTTGTTGTTGATTGGATGTTGAGGAGGTATCAGTGGAATATTGGTGGTCAGTTGGAATTCCGTACACCTATCAGAGCAAGGATCGGATATACCATCATATCTACGATGTTGTGGATATCGGTCTAGTCGTTTATAACGAGTGGAGTGATGATTTGAGTCCCACTTTCTCAACGCTTGTTGTGCTGGATACAGGTCGATATGGCGGTTAATTGAATTCTTATTCGAGAACCAAGCTTCCTTCAGCAGCCGGCCTCCCTTTGTGGCGTCACTAGACATAATACGTGTCTTATCAAAGTCAAATTGATGCCCATGTTGTGTCATGTGCATCCATATTTGAGAATGTTGTTCACCCCGTCTTATGGCTAGCTTGTGCTCGTGGAGCTGAGTCTTTAGCCATTTAGCTGTTTCACCCACATAATTGCCCTGACAGTTTTTACAGTTGATTTTATAAATTACTGCTGATTTTTCCATAACGGGCAGCAGGTCTTTGGGGTGCATGACTTTGGACCATAATGTCTGATTGGGTTTGTGAGCCACTTCTATCCTATGGGGGGCTAGCAGTCTGGCTATTGCTTCCAAGACATTACTAATGTAAGGCAGAGAGATGCGTGTTTTTTGTAAAGATGGTTCATCTCTCCGCTGACTGCCTCGGGAGTGGGGTGTCACACTATGCTGTCTGATAAATCTCACTGGATATCCATTATGTTGACAGATGCGGAAGAGGTGTTTCCTCTCTTCCTTTTTAAACTCATCTGTGCTGCAGTGGGAGTCCATGTGCTTAAATAATGCTCTAATGCAGCTAGCCTCATGGGAAACTGGATGATTACTCCTGTAGTGGAGGATCCTATCCGTGTGGGTCGATTTACGGAACACTTTCGTATGTAACGATCCATCCGGCTGGCAGTGGATCGATACATCTAGAAAGGCTAGAAAACTTTGTTTCTCCTCCTCCACTGTGAATTTTATGTTGGAGTAAATTGAATTCAGTATTCCCATAAATGTAGCTACATGTTGTTTTTTAACAACCGCAAATGTGTCGTCCACCTACCGAACCCAAAATTTGGGTTGGTATAAGGTCATAGCCTTATGTTCAAGTTGTTGGAGCACAGCTTCAGCTATAATGCTGGAGACAGGAGAGCCCATGGGTGTCCCTTGATCTGTTCGAAGATGGTGCCCTGGAATGTGAAATAGGTTGTTAAACATATTTCTATCAGTCTCACGAGGTCTTCCATCTGCAGGGAGTCCTGGTGATGGCCTCCTTCCGTGTTCATCAACCGGTCTCTCAGGACTGAGATGGCTAAGTCCTGAGGGATGGAGGTGAAGAGTGAGGTAACATCAAATGATACCATCATCTCATCATCCTCCACCCTGAGGGTCTTAATCTTGGCCAAGAACTCCTTCACAGACTTGACCGTCGTGGGACTGTCATCCACAAAGTGGCAAATGTGGGTGCTAAGCCACTTTGCTAACCCCGAGGTGGGCGTGCCCCTGAATGACACAATGGGACGAAGGGGGGTGCCTTCCTTGTGGATTTTTGGTAGCCCATAAAATCGGGCAAGGGCCATATCACAAGGCCGCACCTTCTTCAGGGTATCATCTCTGATTTTTCTGCTATGTTTAAAATTATCTAGCACTTTATTGATTATGTTCCTGAGCGTTACTGAGGGGTCTTTCCCAATCACTCTATAGGCTGTTCTATCACTCAGGAGCTCTAATGCCTTGGTTGTATATAGCGCCTTATCCATGACAACAGTCACCCTCCCCTTGTCTGCGGGAAGTATGACGATGGTGTCGTTCCTTTTAAGTTGTTCTAGGGCTTCAATTTCTTCCCTAGACAAGGTGTGATTGTGAGTAACCCGGTGACTTGTTGTCTTATGGAGCTCCTAGTGTCCTCATCTGTCCCCATATGGCACATAGCGGGCTCTAGTGCAGCTATGAAATCTAGAGCATGTGCGTCCATAAGGTTATGACCAGTATCACACTGCAGCAGGGTGAGTTGTGAGTGGGTTAACACTCTGGAAGAGAGGTTACAGACTAATCCGTTCATAAAGCTATTGCATTTCGACTCACGTATGGCATCTATCTTATATATATAATGTATATGTATGTGTGTGTGTATATATATATATATATATATATATATATATATATATATATATATGATGTATATCTAGAACAAAAGAGGATTGATTCTTAAAGTAAGTGTACAGTACACAAAACAGGATTTCCCTCAAATATGATAACTCTCATATGTTTGTTGCAGATTCTCCCCCTATTAGAAACCACAAGATCTTCAATGTAACTTGCAGCAGTTTTGAAGCATCTTGGAGTGTAAATTCTTTGCAGAATCATTCATTCCGAGCAGAAGTGTACAAAGGCAAGAAACTTGTTGAAAGAATGGAAACCACAGATATGAAGCTAACTATGTTAAATCTAGAAGCAGGTGTAATGTATACAATGGACATCAGTTATGAAGCTTGTGGCAAAAATATTACCTCCAGTAGAACTGTAAAAACAGGTACTGTATGCAATTATATCTACTATTTTATTCAATTGAAAATATTTTTCTAACATATAAATCTTTCTCTTAAAAAGCTCTTAAAATATTTTTTTTCATGCATAACAAGGAAATATCACTGTGTGTTATTAAATTTATTCTTATGTTATGTACAAAATGTTTCTATTCAGGTGAAATCGTGGATCCTGTTACTACACAGGGATCAAACGTTACTGATAATTCAACCACACCTTTCTCAATGACAGAAATACAGGCAGTGACATCGTTCACTAAGTATACTGAAGCAACAGTGCTGCCCTCTAGTGGCACTCAGGAGTCAAGCACTCTTCCAGCAGAGAAGGCATTGTCAGCATCTCAGAAGATGAACGTATCAGGGCATGTCAGGAATGATAGCATCTTGAATAGCCCAGAAACAGCTACTCCAGCTCCAAAATGGTGGGGCAATGTAACAGTCTCAAATGGAACTGTAGCTGAAGAGTTGAGCACTCTGCCAGCAGAGAAGGTATTGTCAGCATCTCAGAAGATGAATGTATCAGAGCATGTCAGGAATGATAGCATCTTGAATAGCCCAGAAACAGCTACTCCAGCTCCAAAATGGTGGGGCAATGTAACAGTCTCAAATGGAACTGTAGCTGAAGAGTTGAGCACTCTGCCAGCAGAGAAGGCATTGTCAGCATCTCAGAAGATGAACGTATCAGGGCATGTCAGGAATGATAGCATCTTGAATAGCCCAGAAACAGCTACTCCAGCTCCAAAATGGTGGGGCAATGTAACAGTCTCAAATGGAACTGTAGCTGAAGAGTTGAGCACTCTGCCAGCAGAGAAGGCATTGTCAGCATCTCAGAAGATGAACGTATCAGGGCATGTCAGGAATGATAGCATCTTGAATAGCCCAGAAACAGCTACTCCGGCTCCAAAATGGTGGGGCAATGTAACAATCTTGAATGGAACTGTAGCTGAAGTGTTGAGCACTCTTCCAGCAGAGAAGGTATTGTCAGCATCCCAGAAGATGAACGTATCAGGGCATATCAGGAATGATAGCATCTCGAATAGCCCAGAAACAGCTACTCCGGCTCCAAAATGGTGGGGCAATGTAACAATCTTGAATGGAACTGTAGCTGAAGTGTTGAGCACTCTTCCAGCAGAGAAGGTATTGTCAGCATCCCAGAAGATGAACGTATCAGGGCATATCAGGAATGATAGCATCTTAAATAGCCCAGAAACAGCTACCCCAGCTCCTAAATGGTGGGGCAATGTAACAGTCTCAAATGGAACTGTAGCTGAAGAGAGATGGACCACTCAAGATCAGCAAAACTCTTCAGTGACCTCATCCCCTGGAGTTTCAAACATAGAAACCTCTCCTTTTAAGAGAAATGAATCAATAGTAGAGGAGGGCACACCTGGCTTCTCAGTTGAAAGATTTGAGAATGTTATATCCCTGAATGTAACACAAAATCCCAAATGTCATGCTTTGAACCATACCCTTGATAGGGACATAGGAGGAAATGACAGCTCTTGGTCTGATGAAAGAAACAGTACAGCATCGCCATCTTCTTTCAAGGCGAATATCTCCCTTGCTACAGATTTGAGTGGTGAGTATACTTTTACTTCAGCATTGACTTTAAACATAATAGGTTACTACAATGAGAAAGGCAGTGGGGTTTAGAAAAATGGAAGCTAGTAGCCACAAGCCAGAGGAGTGATTCCATTTAAATAAATAAGAAAAAAAATATACACTTAAGTTCTAATATTTTCGTGGGATTTAAACACATCCCTAGCCCAACCAGTTCCCTGATTTGTAAAATAAAAAGGTAAAGGTTTCCCAGTCCAGTTTTGTTTCCTAGCTGAGGGAGTCAGTGTTGTCCGAAGATGCTTCAGTGGTCCTGTGACCAGCGTGGCTATATGTGGAGGTGCACAGAATGCTGTTACCTTCCCACCAAGTGGTACCTACTTATCTACTTGTAATTGCGTGCTTTAGAACTGCTAGGTTGGCAGGAGCTGGGGCAGGCACGGGAGCTCACCCCAACATGCAGTGCTAGGGTCTTAAACTGCTAACCTTTCAGTCAACAAGCCCTTTGTCTTAAGCACTAGGTCACTGTGCCCCCCCCCCAAAATAGATGCTCATTATTTGGATAGAATGCTGAGTGCCTTGGAGCTAATTACATGAGCAGGAACATAATAGACGAAGAGTTCTCATACAATTAACTCCTCCTCCAAAATTGTATCATTTATTATTTAGCCTTGTCCAAAGATTAAGCAAATAGGTACCATCTGAACCAAAGATCTCCAGCCTTTCTGGCCCCATGGACTGGCAGCAGCGATGGTAGCAGTGGTGGGGTGGGGATGATTTTGCATGCTTAACTAGATTCTGTATGTGTGCAAATGAAGTTTCATGAGCTCACCCACCACTTGCATGACCCGGTTCCCAACAGGCCAAGGACTGGTACCAGTCCACGGACCGGAAGATGGGGACCTCTGATCTAAACCCATTCTCTAGTAAGGGCTGAGAAAAAAAACCCAAGCAACAGGTTTCTATATTACCAAAGATTCTATTTTAATAAACCATGATACTTTTCATGAAACAAATATGATTGATAATTCTAAGAATGGGTTCAGTTGTTTCCCTTTCTCTTTTCAGCACCATTTCCAGCTGAAAGAATATTTTTTTCCAATGTGACAAATACTAGCTTTCAGATTTCCTGGACTACCCATTTTTCAGCGAATACTACTTTCCATGTTCTGCTCTTTGAGGAGGAATTGCTGATAAAGAAGGTTAAAACCCAAAGCAGTCATCTGAATATTTCTGAACTAAAAGCAGGAACTTTATACACTGTTAAAATAAAGGCAGACTTGTATGGAGATGAAAGTAAAACTGTGCAGCGTAAAGTAAAGACAGGTACAATAACATAAAATGTCACAATGTGTATCTACAGAAGTCCATCACAGAAAGTGTTACCTTTTCAATTTAACATAAATAAATATGAACAGACATTTAATAATATTGGCAATCTGGCACACTAGCATGCTATCGTCTTTCCAAATGTCCTTCCTATTTGCTGAATCAAGTTTAGAGTGATTGCAGCTTGTGAAAATGTTGCCCTTGATTATATTTGAGATTTTTGGAATTTATCAAGAAAGTAATCAAAATTATTGATTCTTCGTAAGTAGGCGGTGGGTGAATATCCAAAGTAATTATAATATAATAATAGTTGTGTTATAAAAATGTATATTATAGTTGCAATAATAATTGTTGATATAGGCTAATGATCAATCATTACATTTCTTTTTAACAAGTGGCAATAGAGGAATGAAGAAAGAGGACTTTGGGTTTCTTTTTTTTGTTTTGTTTCTATTTAAAAAATATATTTATGATAAATATTGTTAGCTACTAATTCAGACCATTTGATTTAGTTTGCTAATATTTGTATGATTATAAATGATGGATGTGATAATTTAATCTTTATCACTATGTTGTTTTTACAATTATTTTATTTGTTCAAAAGAGCAAAACATGTTCTGCAAATCTTTGATCGTAGGTACAAAACACTCAGATGGTAAATATCAGTTGTGTCTCTAAATGTAAAGTTGCTTCTCTTCATTTGCTTTTAAGCTATTCTTTTGGTTTTCCATTTGAAGTATAAAAGTGAGTTGTCATAATGTATTGGATGTCTAGAACCTGCCCAGGATCTGATCACTCGTATTTTAACTAACAATGCTTGTCTAACTTTGGTCACCTTCTCATATCTTGCAGCTGCCCAGAAATTTAATGGGATGGTTAGGATAGTGAATCTGAACTATAGCTCAGAATTCAGCAACTCAAGAAGTGAAAAGCGCCAAAATTTTTCAAAGATGTTTCTTAATGAGGTAAAATGATGATGATGATAATACCTTTTTAAAAAATAAGAGAGCTCTATAATGGACATAATCATGTATTTATTTTATCTAGTATGACGTTTAATCTAGGATACAGGGTCCATCACGTCTCATGAGTAGTCCATAATGTGGACTAATAATTCTATGGCAAATGTAACCCTAAATTACAACTTCCAAATCTGAAATAGGGATCAAAATTATAGAACTAAAAATTGTAGAGTTGAACTTTATACTCAACTTCAAACCCATAAGTTCACTGGCTGGGTGAAGGGAGATAGTGAATAATACTAACTGCCCTCATTCCCAGAATCAGTTCCCTGGACTTGCTTTATTTCCACTTGATCAGTTGGATAAAAATGAGCTGTTTGCACTCCCAAATTCCCAGTTGGCTACTTGGGAATGGCAGTCTGAACATATTTAGAGGGCGTGAAGTTGCTTACAGAAGACCCCACCAATGTATGTGTGTAAAATAAAAGTCAGGAGATAGGGCTACTGGGCATAAGCCTATTCCACATGCATTCACGGAATTCCTTAATATACAGAGAAAAAAATGGAACAAGTTTGTTTGGGGAACAAAGCAGCCATTTCACATTCTCAAAGATTTAACAGAATAACAAAATAATTATTCAATCATTCAAGAACATTCATTATTGCAACAGAATTTCTTGTACTGGGCAACAGGAATAACCTTGAGGTATAGGAGGAAGAGCTGTAAACAACAGAAGGGTCAGATAAAAAAAATCTGAGTCCGGGTCAGAGCTGTAACCCAACTGAGCATCTCGGAAAAGATCCTCCCTAATTCTCAGGAACATAAAGAGAGTGCAGGGTGAAGAAGACTTACAATATTCTGTTATTGCAGTGATACCTTAGTACTTCTTGTTAATTGGTTCTGAGAGATGCAACGAGTACTACAAATGCTGAGTACCAAACAAATTTTTCCCATAAGGAATAATGCATTAGTCACGAGGCAGTTGACATCAAGTTCTAGCTTGTGCATTGAGTACCAAACAAACAAGTACCAGGACAAAATTTTCATGTCAAAATGCATAGAGTACCAAATTTATTGAGTTTCAAAGCAGTCAAGTGCCAAGGTATCACCTTTGATTGGGTTTCTTGGTCTAATTCTATCTTGAAGGGCTGACATTTCTCCATTCCTATAGTCAATAATAAAGTTTTCTTCTTACTTTTAAAAATTACGGAGGATCCCAAAAGAGCTTTTGTTTGCATGGGCTATATAGTTATTCCTCAACCCATGACCACAATTGAGCCCAAAATTTCTGTTGCTAAGTGAGACACTTGTTAAGTGAGTTTTCTCCCATTTTACAACCTTCCTTGCCAATTTGTTAAGTGAATCACTGCAGCTGATAAGTTAGTACCATGGTTGTTAAGTGAATGTGGCTTCCCCATTGACTTTGCTTATCAAAAGGTTGCAAAAGATGATCATGTGACCTTGGGACATAGCAATGGTTATAAGTATGAACCAGTTGCCAAACATCTGAATTTTGATCACATGATCATGGGGCTACTACAAAGGTCATAAGTGTGAAAAGTGGTCATTGTTGCAAGTTGAGGTCTACCTGTATTTACCAATATTACCGTATTAAAAATTATGCATTTGGTGTTGCTACTGCTTCTCATGATTTGATGGGATTTTACATTATTTTTCAACATAGACTGGCAAATAATTTTTATTTTGAGGACGCTTGAGATGATCCTGGGAGATCATGAAGGGTTCCTAGGACTACTTTAGGAAACTTTAGAAAACACAGATTGAGGTTATGAATATGCAACTAAATTGCACAGTACTTGCAATAACAAAGCAAGTACAGGATATGCTTATGGAAATACAGGTAGTCCTTGATTTATAACAGTTCATTTGGTGATGATTCGAAGTTACAACAACACTGAAAAAAGTGACACATGACCGTTTTTCACACAACTATCGCAACATCCTCATGTTCACATGATCAAAATTCAGACTCTTGGCAACTGACTCATATTTATGACTGCTGCAGTGTCCTGGGATCACATGATCACCTTTTGTGACCTTCTGACAAGCAAAGTCAATGGGGAAGCCAGATTCACTTAACAACCATGTTACTAATTTAACAACTGCAGTGATTCAGTTAACAACCCTGGCAAGAAAGATTGTAAAATGGGCCAAAACTCACTTAACAAATGTCTTGCTTAGCAACAGAAATTTTGGGCCCAATTGTGGCCATAAGTTGAGAACTACCTATAGCAGACATGTCAAACACAACACCCGGGGACCAGATGTGGCCCGCGAAGTGGTTTCATGTGGCCCGCGAAGCCATCCTGGAAACAGTGAGGGAATGGCCCCCACTGCCTTTGCCCTGGCCCAGGCCAGCTGGGAGCCAATGTACAATTTGTGGTGGCCATCTGGCCTTCTGCTAGAGAGCCTCAGATCTGTCCCACTCCTGCCCAGGCCCCCATAGGCCACACCCATTCCATCCACGTCCACCCAGTAGGCTGAACCCACTCTGGCCACACTCACCTGCCCCCCCCCCCAGGGCAACCACAATGCTGATGCGGCCCTCAGTGAAATTGAGTGACACCCCTGATCTATAGTCTACTATGTCTATATGTCTGTTATTTTGTTTTTAAGGATATATATATATATATCTCAACAACATTGGTTGGTTATTGAGAAATCTTGTTGGATGCAACATCATCCCATCTTCTGAACGTTCTATATCACAGATGTCAAACTCACCACATCACGTGACGTGTCATGACGTATCACGGCTGTTTTTGCATTGCCGGAGCTGGGGTGGATGCAGCCTCCGCATGATGCAACTGGCCCACGGGCCAGCAGCTTGACACCCCTGTTCGATATGGTTTTATTCAAACATTAAGTAAATAAATAAGCCAGTTTGGTCAAGTGCTTAAGACACCAGACTAGAAAGTGGGAGACCTTGAGTTCTAGTTCTGCCTTGGGCATGAAAGCCAGCTGGGTGATCTTTGGCTATGCACTCTCTCAGCCCAACTTTCCTCACAAGGCTGTTGTGGGGAAAATATGAGGCAGGTATGTGGATATGTTTGCCACCTTGAGTTATTTGTATAAATATAAAGGTGGGAAATAAATAAACAAATAAACAAACAAACTTTTAAAAAATCTGTATGTCATCCTTCAAACCAGGGGTGTCAAACTCGCAACATCACTTGATGTGTCGCGACATATCATGACTTTTTTTGCCATTGCCGACAATGGGGTGGGTGCGGTTTCACTACAATGCATCTGGCCCATGGGCCGGCAGTTTGACACCCATGCTTCAAACCATACGGTCATAATCATTCTCAGGACAAATATATACACAAATTCATGCACTCTCTTTTAATAACAGGTCCGTACATCTTTGCCCCCTAATATTCTTCAAAAAATGGATGCTGGTATGATTAACATTTCAATTGTAAGTATTATCCCAGGAAGCATAGTGGTCAACTACAGCCTCCTGATTCCAATAGACATGGATGCAAGGAATGTTTCCGGGTCTCTTCTTGAAGCTTTTCGAAACAGCAGCCGTTTCGAGGTTGATAATAACAGTCTATCCATATATGGTAAATAATAGTTTAATTTAATAGATTCTGAAAATAAGCAGTTAAAACTTAGGCTATTATTCTCCAATGGCAGTGGAATTCCAAAATGATATTCTAATTAAGTTTACTGCAGTCATTATATTTGTATACAGTATTTACTTCTCTCATGGAGTTTATGAGTATTACTCATGAATCACAGTAAGTAGTGTGGTATTAAAATGATGTTCATTCAAAAGAACAAAAGTACCGACGTTTTATAACAAGTATAGAAATATCAAACTATTGCATTAGCTGCAACAACAAATACTACAATTGCCAGGGTGCTAAATAAGAATCATAAATTCATGTATTCCTGCTCTCTTTTATTATATTTTTAAAAACAGATAACAATGAATGTGAGCGAGAGGAAACAGATTGTTCTCCTAATGCAACCTGTTACAATATTTATGGATCTTATGGATGCAAATGCAAAGAAGGATTTGTCAATGTAAATGCTGAGAGACCTGGGAGAAACTGTGAAGGCAAGGTTTCAATATTTATTTTCATTTTCTTCCAACTCTACTGTACTTATTGCCATGAAATTGTCGCTTCACACTTGTAGTCCCCATGCAAAGGATTACATGCAGTCTTGGAAGTGGGCAAGGTCCAGTCACTTGAACCTGTCCCTGCAAAAGGCCATTCTAACAACTGTAGTTTCTTCAGCCTGATTTGGCTATCAGTATTGAGGCAGCCACAAATCGTTTCTAATGAAATACTGACTTTCAGATTCCTCCACTACTGACCACTTAGGGTGCCTTTAAATCTGACATGGCTCTTCTTAGGAAGTAAAGTTGTGAGTGGCATCTGGGAGCCATTGGATGCCACCCACAAGAGCCATTACTGAGAATCTGAGAAACTGAAATCCGCACACCAGCCAGAGACTAAGACTGGGAGAGGCTGGGTTAGAGTCGGATGTGCTCTTCTTTAGTGTCATACTCCTCCCCAGGAAAATGAAAGGGGATTGTTGCTGAGCGATAAAGGAATTTTTTTTGAGATAGCGGTAAAGCTAAACATTCTTTTACATCAGTACTCTGATAAAACTGACACCTACTGAATGATGTTGAGAGGGTTGCAGATGAATGGTAAGTCCATCCTCTAGCCAACCTTCCCTCAGTGAAACAGGCTCCTAGTTTCTCTTGAGAAGAGGAAGAGGAGGAAGGGGGAGGTTTTGATGGGCTGGCCTGCTGAGCAGCACTAGGCCTGTGTCCTCCTGATACTTTTCACAACAAGAAACAAACAAAACAAAACAAAACAGGGGAGGTTATATTGGGTGCCTGTATTTATTCCCAACCTGGAAGGGTTTCAATTCATTCCTTTATCAAAGAAAGCTGTAAGCAGACATACATCTAAAGTACATATAATTATATGAATTAATAGAGTCAATAGTCCTTTGCAAGAATGATCTGCAGAATTTCTAATATTATAACAATGCTACCCAAGTAATTCAATGATAATTTATAACTATTAATAGTCATCTTACTGCTGTAATATAAAATGCTGACCAAACGTCTTTTCTAAATGAAGCTTGAATAGATTTTTAAAAAAACTTTAGCTCTTCATCCCTTTCAATTAACTAAAGTAACACTTTAGAAACATATAAAACTCATATCCCAGTGAATTGGTCAGGTATTTCAAGTGATTTATTTTTCTCACTGGATAGAGAGTTTTTATGCCCCCCTTCCCTGCCTCACTTCACATTTTCTTCGGTCCACCTCATAGATGCAGTTTGATTGGCATGAAAGTTTACAGCTAGGCAGCATTCTCAAAAGTTGCAAAATTGATCTGACACCATTGAAAAATGAAGGCTCTTTTAGAGGTGTCAGTAAAGCTCCTATTATTTTGAGAAATAGCTTATAAGAAGGTTCAAATTTGTAGACAAACATGCAAATGTAGATACATACGTGTTTCCAAATGCATGAACTCTGAATGAATTGGGGTAATGGCAAGAGAAAATAATTTGCTTCTCCTTTTTATGAAAGAAGACAGTTTTTTTTTTTTTTTTGTTAATTCGCAGAATTGGCGAGTTTGAAACTGAGACAGTGAGCATCCATTGGCTGGCATTCTCTGTATTCAGCTAGTTCAGGCCAAGCAATAATTGGCTGAATATGCGCTCTGTGAGCTGCAAACTCACTGATAATGCTATGCTGAAAGCAGTTTGTTGTGCAGATGGGAAAGACAGCATAGGGAAGGGTGGTGGTGGTTTTGCAGTGCATCACATATGATTTCCAAACTGGAAGGTTTCTCGTAGGAAAGAGCTCAAAGTTGTATTTACTGTAATTCTTTGTGGGGAAAAAATAACCGAGTTGTATAATGCAATTTTCAATGACTTTTCTCTACTCTGTAGTACTTTCTTCCAGCCTTAGTTCTGGGGATGCACAGTCAAAAGAATGGAGCAGCACAGCTTTACCCTTGACCGATCCGTATACTTCAGACCCCATGCCTTCATCTGCCGGAGATAATTTTTCCACTAGTAGCAGCAGAAGCTTGGAGAATGCAACTGCCAACACTACAATTAATAAGAAAACTATAAATCGAACAACAAACATTCATGATTTACCTCAGAATTCGTCCTTGATTAACAGTTCTTCTGCTGTTTCAATTAAGGAGGCAGTTCAAGTACTGTGTGAGTTTGAAAAAATTGTCATCTCCATTAAGAAGGACTTTCTGCACCAGCAATCTATCCCAGAATCCTCCTTGTACTTAGGAAATCCTCGCTGCAACGTAACCTCCAGTAATTCTAGTCATGTGGTACTTCATACTGACTGGAATGAATGCGAAACTGAAATACAAACTGTAAGTCTTTTACTCGAGAATAAATTAAATAATATCTAATTAAATATTAAGAATAGGTAAATTGAAATAATTAAGGATAGAGGGTTTTTGGAATGACTAGCTCTGAATACAGCATTACATGTCATTCCAACCTCTCAATGAGGTGGGTTTTTTTAAAAAAGAAAGATAATAGTAAATTATAACAAATTATGCATGCACTATCCATAAAGAAAACATGTTGGGGCAAGATTTGGGGTTTTGATTCATAGTTTAAATAGAAACTGTTTCTGAAATGTATTTCTCATTTTTTACTATCACTGTAATGTAATTCTTATTTTTTCCAAGGATCTTCTACATGTTAGATGCCTCAGTTGAAATAAACAAATTATGATTAAATGAATAGAATAGTTTGTCCTTGTATAATGAGCACATCCTGCATTTTTCTTCATTTTACTCTTTTGCTTACTTTGTAGCCCAGCCTATCCGTATCTACTTTTTCCCAAATCTGTTTTCTGCGCAAATCTACTTTCCCCAAATCTGTTTCCTATTTTTTAAACTAAAAAAAAGAAAAGAAAGAAAAATCTTTCTCTGTTGATTTCTTTTTCAGAATACCACTCACACCATTGCAAAAACTGTTCTTCGGAATGATTATTCTTCCCATAGGATTATCCGCCACTTAAAGATTTCAAGTCAAATTCACTGTACCTTTGAAAATAATCTCTTAACTTCATCTGGATATACTTCAGAAGGGTAAGTAACTTCTTAGAAAATAAGAACCAATTACATTATTTTAGACATCAAAGAATTATGGCAGAAGTCCAAAATACAGAATTTAATGGATAAGTTCTGCAAAAGAGAGGAGAATATTCAGAGCTGACCTTCATTCTAGACATTGTATCAAAATACAGGTAACTCAACTACAATTTTTATCTTTTCATATACTACTTACGTTTAATGTCTGGAAATAATGATAGGGAGAAATTACAGGCTTAGGGTTATATTTCTAACTACTAAAAGAGCCTTAGTGGCACAGTGATTAGAATGCAGTATTGCAGGCTAATTCTGCTGACTGCCAGCAGTTCGGCAGTTTGAGTCTTAACTGGATGACTCAGCCTTCCATCCTTCTGAGGTCAATAAAATGAGGGAGGACCCAGATTGTTGGGTGCAATATGCTCTGTAAACCACTTAGAGAAGGCTGTAAAGCACTGTGAAGTGGTATATAAGTCGAAGTGCTACTGCTACAACTACTTGCAAAGACAAGAATAAACCTACTTTACATATATGAAATATTTCAGGTTCATGAATATCTGCAGTCAAATTATGTCTTTTAAATAAATTTCCCTATAGAAAGGAGTAAAAATAGTAAGATAATCCTAATAAAGTATGTTAAATAAAATTTTTTAAAAATCAAAAGCTTTTAATTTGTTGACATAGATATAGTGATCAAATTCTAGCAATCTTTTAATCATTCACTTTGTGCTAATGTTTATGCAACTATTTTTAATTTTTTTCTAGACATTTCACAAGTAAAATGTAGTATCCTTTCTATTCCCTTGGCTGAATACTGAACAAGGAACCACTTTATTCTTCTGTGATATCTGAAAATAATACTGTTATTGTGCAGACACAGGACATAGTTTATAAAACTAGTCTACCAATGTTAACAGTGGCTCATTGCTTTTCAGGATTTATACCATTTTTGAAGATTTACATGGATCTGGACACTTCTTAACAGAAATGCGATTGTTTATTGGCAATTCTCCAATTCCGCAAAATTTCAGCATCTCTGGTAGTGATAATGTAATGATTGAGGTGGGAGTTCAAACAAGAAGCAAGAAACTCAAGTTGGTTGTTGGCCAATGTTGGGCAACCCCAACTAATAACTCAATGGATCCTCATTCATTTCATTTTATACATGGCAGGTATAGTATACACAATGTGTTAAGATGTTATTACAAACCTTGTGGATAGTATAATGCAAAAATTTATAGAATAGCGTCAACTTTTGTAATCTTAAAGTTGAAACATCAGCAATATAAATCCACTCTTTTGTTTGTAATGGTGTCATTTCATTTTATAAGTTGATTTAAGCCATTATTTCTTGGCTTTAGCCTCTTAGTTGCTAGGTATGTTTGTTTTAATTATATTCATCTATGTGGCTAGGAAAATATTGATTCAATATTTATAAAATGGGGGAACATTTCAGAATAAATGCATTCTGAATTTTTGGCTTTTGGTTTTACTGCTTTGAGTTGTTCCACCGTTCCATATAGATAATTTTAGCAATTAAATCAAAGATATGAAGAAATAGAGCCAGAGTAGGAATTAAATGAAAATAGATGAGCAAAACCACTCTTCTTTCTAACATACATGTCTGCAGACTCTCAGTGAATCAAATGCAGGTGTATGTTATTAAGGTGACCAACTTTTTTACAATGAAAAGGAGGACACAAACAAATTGAAGAAAAAATATCGTAAATAAAAGAAACATTTTATTCATTGCAACAATAATACAGAATACACTATAATATGATAAATGTATAATAAAAAACCATTTGTAACAATAACATTTTATATTGTAATTATGCTTACATGCCGCGCCCCCACCCACAGCCGCCCTGCCAGCACTGCTGCCCTGCCGTGTAGAGTGGGCCCTGCAGCTCCCAAAGCACCAGCTGCACTGGCTCTGGCCCCAGGGGGGGGCAGCCTACCATCAACACACCCCACCTGCAGCTGTCCCACTAGCACCACCGCCCACCCTGCACAGCCCCATGTAGAGCAGGCCCTGCGGCTCCCACAGCACGGGGGCAGCCGGCCACCACTGCCCCTCATACCCCTGCCCGCAGTAGCCCCTGCCTCTTGCACCCGCAGCCATTATTGCCTTAGCAGGGCCGAAGATTAAGATAAAGTTACCGTGGCACCGCTGCTCCAGTTTCCTCCAGGTATCTTCGGGACTAACTAGGAGATGGTGTAGTTGGGTAGCAGGGAGGGGTGCAAAGTTCCTGCCAATTCACCTTCGCTGCAGACAACTTACATGTGCAAAGTTTGCCAGCCGGGTGTTTTGGCGCGCTCAGCAGCAATTCCTATTGGCTTTTGAAAGCCAATAGGGGGGAGTAGCACAGCTCATGCAAAAGTTGAAAAAAAAAACCATAAAAAAGGTGTTGGAACGCCGTTCTGAGCATCTATGAGAAAAAAAAGCCCTGCAAATTAGTCTTCAAATATCGAAAAGGAGGACATGTAGGAGGACACTTTTCGAGGGAGGACAGAACTCACAAAAGGAGGACTGTCCTCCCTAAAGGAGGACGGTTGGTCACCTTAATGTTATACCAGTGGCCAGGTTCACTTTTACAAACTTCACTGTTGTGAGAAGTTGGCAGAGGTAGCAGCCAGGGAATTTTATATATGTGTTGGTGGAGGAGAATACATGTGAGGAAACAGATGAAAGGTGGCCTGTGGCTGAATCCCTGAGCCCAAGCACTTCTACTTGGGGAGTTGCTTATGGGTTACTTCTGCAGTAAGAAGGGAAGCGAGAGTAATGGCTTCGGTTGCCAGTAGGTAATTGTATACATTATGAAGTGTACTCAAAGAATGTTATGATGCTACTATTTATTTATTTGAATGTATGTAAGTCACTTGATGATGCATATCTGTCCTAGATATTATCAGATCCTCTGTGAAACAGAAGAGATTTATAGATTAGTGAGATATTTTACTATCTCACTGGTCTCACTACTATCTCATATTTTACTACTATTAGAACTATCAGCCATTTAATACTGCAAATTGAATAGCATTACTCTTGATACTCTCTTTTTGGAAAATTATCACATTTTTGTATGTTTATAAATATAAATCCATATAGATCAAGTTCTATGCTTCTTTGAACATTTAATTGATCTTTCTTTTTCAGCTGTCCAGTTCCAAATACAAACACCATCGTGATTGCAAACGGGATATCCAACCGAGCCCGATTTAAACTGAAAATATTTTCATTTGTCAATAGTTCAGTGGTTTACTTACATTGTAAAATCAAAATTTGTGTTGAAATTCCTAAAAGCACTTGCAGAACGGTAAGGAGTCTTACTCAGTTGGAAAACAAATTGATTTTAAAACAATCAGAACTATTGTTTTATCTGTTCCCAGAATGTGCTGCTTCATAAACCAAACCAAATAGTACAGAGCTCATAGATAAACTTAATCTGTAATTTTCTTCAGCAAAAGCTGGAAATGCAACAGTTAGCAAAAAGAACATTAGGTGCTGTGTGTGCTATTTGCTTTTATTTCTATTTTGGTGCTTGTCTACATCAGAATCGTAAATGACCTTACAATAAGATCATTTTAAGATTCTAATGTAGATAAGTTTCCATCTCCGACAGAAATTCTGCTCAGCAACAAATCTTCTTACGTCTAAGTGCTTAAAAATGCTAAAAGTGCTATAAATACTTTGAATTCTGACACTGAAGCAAATAGAGGGCTGTAGTTTTTGGAACTTGCTAACTTCTATGGGAATATGTAGTAGATATAGAGAATTTAGCATTTTTTGTTGTATCCTAACTCTTTATGACTGCAAAGAGATTTACAGATAGAATGGGGTCACAGATATTATTCCTTCTGATGATAGGAAGCATAGGATGTTTCAGAGATGTAAGCCACCTCAAAGCTGGAGTTACTATATCCTATGATACACTAGATGCCCGTATTCTATCTAAGAGTGCCTTCTCAGTTATAATTTGATAACTTGGCTTATATATGTGATCTGCCTATTATGGCAATCGTGTTTTTTAAAGGATCTCTAAGATCCTTATTTAGTAGTCATAATGAATAGTACATTTAATCTGAAAACAAATATTTCATAAGTATATTTCATTCTTGCAGAATTGCCAGGGTTTCCGTTTCTGGAAATCAGGTGAAATTATTGCAACACCTAAAGCAACTTGGGGTCCTCTTCACAAATTCAGTGGTAAGTCAGAGCTTCAGTACAAAATCATTAGATAAACAGTTTAATTTTAAGAGAGAGCTCAGAGCTGTTGAGAATGGACACCCTGAGAGCAGAACCATCCTCGGAGCCAACGAAGAGAAGCCAGAACTTTTCTACTCAGCCTAGGAATGGGCCAATCTGACAGGTTTAGTTCTTATTTTAATGCCTCACCATTGGAAATGCATTATGTTGGAGATATGGGTAATTTGGTTTGTTTTCATTTCTGCAAATATGTTACATTTGGTTAGTTGAATATAATAATTTTTCTAAAAGTTGCATTAAAATGTTTAAATATGTTGTACATTTCTCAGAACTGTATGTTTTCTGTATGATTTTGTGTGTGTGCAGTCTTTGTACGTGGGTTTCCATACTGGTTTTTTAAACATAATTTTTATGTATATAGGCCTTTTAGTCCAGATTTCTGCCTAGTATTTATGTCTGTTATTACTGATGAGCTGCACTGTAAAATTTAAACTACAAATTTCAGATGCTTACTGTTTCATTTGATGTGTTTGCTAAAAATCGGAAAGTAAATAAATGTGCATTCAAATGAATTTCTTCTCCAATCCCAAGTGGGGGTCGCACATCACCAAGTGAGCTCTGATAACAATAAGGCAAGGGCATCACTTTCTCCTCCCCCAATCTTCACCTAGTAACTAGAATTCATAGCTACGATGAGACAACCTGTGACACTGGGTCATCGTTTCAGAGATATTTCCTCAATGCCTTCAACAGTGGCAGAACTTCACTGTACTGCTTCACTGGAAAACCTCTTAAAAATTCAGGGAAATATTCAGAGATGTATCTGCCTTGAAAATAACCTGTATTGAACTGTATAGCACAAACATCAAGAGTTGATCGCACAAAAAAGCTTTATGACATTTTGAATGATTATGTTGTAAAATGTTTACAATAATTTTTATATCATAAAACACTTATAACATATGCCAAATTTCAATTCTCTGGGAGTCTTGGGTTCTGGATTCTGGATGTATTCTATAAGTTAGCCCATTTGAGATAACCATGGTTGAAAAATGATTGCTCTATTCCTTACATACGGTTACAGAGGTAACCGTATGTAAGGAATATTTTACTTCTAGGCACCCCCACCACCAGTCAAGCTTTCATGATGCTACCTGTCATCTATCAATCTCAGGGTTAAGGTTAGGGTTTCTTCTCTTGTTTTTCTGCTGGGAGGCTTTGTCCATTTTAGCTCTTTTAGCAATAGTAGCAGCAGCTCATTTCAAACTACAGAATACATGCGAAAGACAAACTGGAATCGCTCTAGCTGTGAAGGTGAGCTTGCTGCTGCATAGGCAGTCTCTGGTATTGTGGGTGGTGGAATAAAATAAATCTCCTTTCCCCCAGTGACTAGGGGAGCTCTTGCTAATCAAAATAAAATACCCTGGGACATTTTTAGCCAGGTGTTTTTTTTGCCCCCTTTCAGTTGTGTCTGGTTCTTGGAAACTGCCTGGACAAGTCCCTGCAGTTTTTTTGGCAAGGTTTTTCAGAAGTAATTTTCCATTTCCTTTTTCTTAGGGCTGAGAGAAAATGACTAGTCCAAGGTCAGATGGCTTTATGCCTAAGCAGGACTACAACTCGTGGTCTCCTAATTTCTACCTGATAACTTTAACCACTACATCAAACTGGGTCTCATAGCCAGTCTCACTTGACATACAACAGCTCATAATGAACCTTGTAATTGTTTGGTTTTTTTTTTTCATCTTGACAAATACAGCTTCATTGACCATAACAAGAAGACAATAGATTATTTCTACAAAATGAGATTTTATTAAGACTGCAATTTTCTCTGTGTTTATCATTCTAAATTACAAATAAACTACAGTTATCTAAACTGTACAGATCACAGTAAATGCATATGATTGCACTCCTATAGTGAAAAGTATTATAACGATCTGATCAAATTTAATATAACAGTGTTCAATTTGTAGCAATGGTAATTTTCTCAATTTCTTTTGCTTCAGCTGGATTAAAGGAAGAGAAAAAATCTGGTCTGGGAGTAGGCTATATCGTCCTCATTGTCATCGGCGTACTTGTTCTCGCACTGGGAATAGCAGGACTTTTAGTCTGCCGGTACAAACGCAAGGCTGGGACTTATGACTTCAAAAGGAGGACTGAATATTTTAACTATCGAGCCTTCCATGACTGAACATTTCAAAACATGTAAGTTTTGCTACTTAGTGAATTGGTTTTTTTTTAAATGATAGCTTCCTAGGCCCTCACAAAATCTATTAAAATAAATACTTAGAGATTTGTAGCTACTAATAAATAGCTATCGGAAAACAAAGAGTTTGGTCCTCCTTTTGCTATGCAATTGACTGAATGCCCATTGTCCTGGCTTTATTCTCAGCCTAACTCACAAGTGCAGGAAATCAGGAGTCCGGGTAGATCAAATGAATATAAGTTTATTGTATGTTAATGTTGTCTACAAGAATCTGAACTACTAACGGTCAAGGCAAATTGGTGGTAGATAAAAGTCAATGGAATTCAAGATGAAGTGGGCATAGATCGCTTGTGGACACAAAGGGACTCAAGATTGATGATGTGTTTGACCCCTCCCTCAGGCTTAGCCTGGTCATCTCCTACACTAACCTAATAGTGTTAGCACAACTGGATTGAATGATGATAAGTGGGCTGCAAATGTGATGTCCTGTCTATCGAATGTACACCTTATTTTCTCTTGGCATTTTAGCTGGAAGCTTTCTACAAATATATTGGTCCATGAAATGCGTGAAAGACGTAACTGAAGCAGCTGATACTCAGATTATCAGGCCTCTGAGAACTTCTTATCAGTTTTACATTGCTGTTGTAAACCATTTGCATCATTTCAAGAGGGTAGAAAATTCACTAGTAATTTTGTAGTTGGATTTACTTTTGCTTTGCCTCCCAGTTCCACAATTTTGCTTTTAAAAAGATAGAACACTTTTAGTGTAAGAAAGCAAATCAAGCAATTACATAAATTCATTGTATACATATATGTTATTATTCTGAGACTGTAGAATCATCATTTTGATGCAGAGGCCTAAATATTGCAGAATAAAAGTGAAATGTGAGTGCTGGAAGTTTGTGAAAAGAAGGATTCCGAAGTTGATCATATGTTTCCAAATAAGATCTGCAAAACCTGCTTTCATGTGATTAAAAATGATGAAGAGATTGGTTGTTGTTTTTTTGCCATTTCGGGAGAAAGAGAACATGTTCTTTGATAAGAATCTTCCTTATATTTAATGTATTTTTTTTATACTGAAAAAATAATATAATGCAAAGTATCCTTATCTTGAAATTCATGTCTCAATGAAGTTGTTTCTACAGATATCTAATACTTATAACAGCTTTCACTCCAAAATTCAACTTTCACACATATACTTGGGAGAAAATCTTATTCACTCTTCATTTTTGTTTGGACAGTCAGCACACAAGGCCGGAAAGTGGGCTTTGAAAAGAAGAGAAAGAAAAAAGGGAGAGACAAAGAAAGGAAGGAAGAGAAAGAACACCCCCCCCCCCAGAAAACACTTGCCTAAAATCTATTGTAGAACTTGGATCTTCAATTATGTTGGATGTTCTCTGAGTCTACAAAATTTACCAGAATTTTGCTAAAGGAACAGCTTTTTTATTTTACACTGTTTAATACTGCAGTAATTGTAGCAAGTAAAATTGCTGCAGTAAAATAGATTGATTTGAACAGACTAAGAGCTAAAAGTAAATACAGAAACTTTGTTGATATGCTTTTAGAAACTACTGAATTTTGGGTATATTTATTATAAATCTTCATTCAAAAGAATGCTATTTGTCTTGTAAACATATAGGAAAGAGGAACTATTTTTATAGCTATTGTTTTTAAATTTCTATACCATACTAAAATTAAGTGGATGTTATTGCTATTGTAGCTGATTTATGAAGTGGGCTATTAGAAGAGTAGAGCAGAAAGAGAAACTGAATGATTTGCTATCAATATATGCCAAATAAAACCTCAGTCTATATACAAAGTCTATACATGTACCTTTATGTCTGCTACTTTAATAAATACATTTTGTACATTTATTTGCAGTCTTTATTTTTAACTGTTACTCAGTTATTCAAACCGGAGAGATTATTTTATACCAAACGGGATTTTAGGATCTTCTAATTCAGAATTTAAACCTTAAGGTTATATTCCTCTCCATGAAAGCTAGTGTTATTTTAATATTTAATACAACACCCAGAGGCACTCCTGTATAGGGACACCTGAAATGAATATGCCCCATGGAATCCTGTAGGAATAATTTTGAATGTAAAACTCATGTGATAACAGCTGATCAGAATATCTGAATTGGGCTGTGCGTAGTCCATTATTTAAGAGCAAACAGAAATCCCAAAGAGAACAAAAGTTCCCATTTGTCGCTTCCAGCATCCCTCCGTTTGTAACTTTAAGCAAGCAGACTTGTACAACTTTCTTCACATTAGAAGAAAACAAAAGGGTAAGTCATTTTCCCGAATTCTTCTCTGCTTGGAGGTATGTTGTATTTATATCTTTCCTTTTTTTACCAGAGCAGGATACAGCATACATACTGACCTCTTCAATTTTTCATTAGAACAACAATCCTATGCGGTAGATTGGGCTGAGAGAGTGTGATGTATCTGATATTATGTGCTTCAGCACTGTCAAAAACATTCTTGGTCTATGTTTATTTTTTACTAGTGGAGCTTAGGTAAAGGATGAGTATGAAAAGAGTATCATTATTCGTTTTTCAACTTTCCATTTTTAAAAATTACGCAAAACCATTAGCAACCATGTATATTTCTTGGACTATTACTCAAGCTCCCCCATTAATGCTACTTTTTGCCTCACTCAATGGCTTTTGGTGGGGTGTGTGTGTGAAGGGATGTTTTCTTGTTTCCTAAATATGTCTCTCTTATAAATTGCCCCAGATATATATTTTAATCTTCTTTGGATCCTAAAAATTCATTTGCATGATTTCTGACTTTTGTATTCAATATTAAAGCATAAAGATTTAATCCAACAGATCAGTTCTTGAATTTTGCTATGAAATACAGGTAGTCCTTGTTTAATGACCACAGTTGAGACCAGCAAGTTTGATTTCTAAGTGAAGCTATCGCTAAGTGAGATCACAACTGTCCTTACAAACTTACCTTAGCTTTCCATTGCTTTCCATACCTCTAAAGGTCCTAAATATGAGGATTGATCACAAAGATATATTTCTATCACTGTCATAATTGTGAATCACTGCTAAATGAAGAACACTATCTGAGAAATATCAATACCAAGATCATATGTCATGTTACTCTGGGGAATAATAAAATAGGCTCGGGTTGAAGTCCAATGATTTTAGAATACAGAAAGTTTGTTTCACAAGAAAAGAATATGCAGTTGTACAGAGCCCTATTTATCTCACAATATACGAAAGCTTTGCATTTATTACAATGTTTTCTATGCCTAAAATGTTTTGCTTACTTAAAATTTTTTTTGCAATTACTTGAGCTGAAAATATGTTTTCTGTAAGTGAAAGAAAAGAGTAGCTAATCCAACACAATGCCACCAAGACATAATGCCAGACATACAGTGGTAAAAAAGTTTTGGTTTTACTGGAATAAGTACACATTTAGTACTTAGGATTTAATTTGAAAAAACAAATGTTCCTGTAGAGTTAAATTATAATTAGCTGACTAACACTTTGCCTTCTCATATAAAGGAACAGCTTTTGAAAAAAAAAATATAACTGCACCTATATTGCGAATGACTAATATTATTAGTAAAGAACATGGAGTAAATCCAGGGTGTTCAATGGTTATTAGGAAGTGTTCTAATTTTTAGCCAAACAATAGACAAGAATATGTTGACACTTGCAAGAAATCTCAGCAGCCAATACAAGTATTTTTTAAAATATATTTTATTAGATTTTATATGGGTAGGGAAAAGGTAGGGTCGGTGCGGGTACAGGAAAATTGGGATAAAAGGGACAGGGTGTGGATAACTACAGTAAATACGTAATTCAACGAACAAGCTGTCGTCCGGGTCTTCATATTAAGTATTATTGTTTATATAATACTAGACATTTATAAGAAAAATGCAAGTATTAAATCAAAGTTAATTTTAATTGATATTCTACAGTTGGCTGTGAATGCTTAACTCTATAGCTATAATTTGGAGGACTTGCCATGAGTAGCTCTTAAAATTGCTTTGCAATCAAGATCAACGTGGATTGCCCCCACTTGTGGAGTCTAATTGGAGACTTTGGATCGTCCTGCACTTCACTCCTTAGCTTAGTATGCTAGAGGGCTACATGCTAAAGCAAAATGTATTTACCTCATCTTTACGTTGACCTTTAATTCACCTTAAGTTGTGCAAAAAGAATTAACAGGAAATAGAAAAAAAAAAAAACGGGGCAGAGCATATCACATGCAGAAAGTCAGAGGTGACCTTGATAGGATTCAGAATCTGACTATAAATTTAGAGGATATCTGTCAAAAAAAAAATACCTGTTGAAAATACTGGAATCAATGGATCATTGGCCTGATTCAGAATAAGGCAGCTTTTCTACTGTATTTTTTATGGGTTAGAGATCACAGGATAAAGAAGTATGTTCTACTTTGGCAGAGATATATTTAATAATAATACTACAGTATTATATGCTATGTACTAGTAAATTATTAAATTTTACTAATAACTTATTTACTGTATTAGTAAATTTATAACTTTAGTAAATAAATTAGTTTTGTTTAATCTGCATTTTTTCTTCTTTTTCTCCTCTTAAGCATTGTTTCATATAATTTTTTTTTTAATTGAAAATTTTTGAATTTTACAAAGCAAATCCCTTCCCCAAACCCCCCACCCTCCCATGCCCTCCCCCATCTCCCCAAACCTCCCATACCCCCCCTCAACCTTCCCAGAGCTGAGTACAGGCTTAATTAAAATTTTTCAAAGAAAATAAAAAATAAAAAAACTTAAAACACATATAAATCCTAAACAAATCTAAATACATTAAATTAAACAAAATATCTTCTCTAAAAGATAATAATTGCAAACATTAAACACACATTATAATATACTCTAAACCTTTTCTAATATTGTACTTATATTATTATCCATCATTCTATAAAGAATCCTCAAAACACAAATTTAAACATTATTTTCTTTAAATATCTATACCTACAATATAAAATCTAATCTCCCTCTTTCTTTACTCTAGAACACAAAAATAAGCGTATAAACATTCATTATACCATCAAAACTGAATACCCATTTAAATAATTAAACTAAATACTTGTATTTAAACTTCTTATCTAAAATTTTCATTCAATCTCCATGATCTTCTCTCCTATCAATAAAAAAAGGACTTAAAAAACATATAAATCCTAAACAAATCTAAATACGTTTAATTAAACAAATTAACTTCTCTTAAAAATAATAATAATAATAGAAAAAAAAATCTTTAAACAAACTATAGTATACTCTAAACCATTATCCATCATTTTATAATATACTCTAAACCTTTTCATATCATACTTATATTATTACCCCAAAACACATATTTAAACATTACTTAAAACATTAAAATTCCCTTATACCTGTTTAAATCTTTACCAATAACAAATTCCTCCACAATAAACACATTCTTTCTCTTATCCATAAATCTCTTAAAGGTAATTCCAAAAAGTTTGTAAATCTTACTTCTCCCACAATTCAATAGTCTTCTGAGTACTTAAACTAAGTACTTAAACTTAAACTTGTTATCTAAAATTCATTCGATCTCCATAATCTTCTCTCCAATAGCCAGTTCCATCCACTATAAACACAATCCTTATCAGTCTCTCTTGTCCATAAACCTCGAAAAAAATGCTTTAAAATCTGCCCTTGAAGATAGCTCCAAAAAATTTGTGAGTCCTGGTTCTCCCACAAGCTCAGGAACCAATAGCTGTGAAGCTTCCTTAACCTCCTTCTTCTGTTGGTCTTTCTCTTTACGTTTATATGTTGCATGAGTTGTCCTCTGCTCTTTCATCTCGACTTGTTGAGGCCCCTCAGACTGAAATTTCCCCTTTTTAATTAATATAGGCTCTTCACACTGCAATTCTGCCCTTAAAGGTTGCTCCAAAGAGTTTATAAATCCTGCTTCTCCTGCAGATTCAGGAACCAATACTTGTGAAACTTCCTTGAGCTTCTTCTGTTGATCCTTTTCTTTACAATTATATGTTACACAGGTTGTCTTCTGCTCCTCCATCTCTACTTGTTGAGGCCCCTCAAACTGAAGTTTCCCAATTTTCATAAGTGTAAGCACTTCAGACTGCAATTCTGCCTTTTTGTCTTCCAAAGCTTTGAACGTGGTAGATGGCGATGAGCATACCCCCAGGACCGAAGTATAAAAGTCTTTTGCTTTAGAAACAGTATTAAGACTATAACGTATCCC